AAATTATAACTTCAAATAAATTTTTTTATTATTTTAATTGGAGTATTTTTAGGCCATATCGCCCAGCCCTACCAAATGTATTTATAATTGTACAGTCGTGTAGCACATTCACCACCAAAGCAAAGTCTTTGTATTTAAAATACATTAAAATAACGCTTTTTTTCCCAGGTTTTGATGTTTGTTCTCAAAAACTGGAAAGCAAGAAAAAAACATATTTGTATATATAACTTGTTAAATTCTGATAACATGGGTTATTACCTGATTGTCCCAAACTCCTGCAGGGCCTCCACCAGGTCCGCCTCCATGATACCATCTGCCAGTCCCCTGATGTGCACCACTGGAGAGGGCAGTGGTTTGTGAGGGTCATCATAACCTTCCTAAATAGATTTGAAAAAAAAATAGATTTTTAAACAAAAGTAACAAATTGATGTAGAAGAATGCATGACATCTGCAAATTGTCCATTTATATTAATTACAAGCAAATATAAAAACACAAAAATAAGTGTATAAATGTGTTATTGACAACACTAAGATTGGCAATAAACCAGTTCATCATGTCTGATCATTAGCAGAGAGGTTAAAATCACAGGGAATATTTTATCCATTTGATTTAGAACTGAAGTTTGGTAAAAGATTGTTTTGAACAACAGCTGTCCGCATCTAACCAGCTGTTTTAGCTTTAGCATCAAACTGATTTATAATTTGACAAACGAGTCCTTCCCTATTGGAAATCAAAACAGTTATTATGTTGTGCTTTAACATGACCAGAAAAACAACAGTTCAGACAGAAATAGATCCTTTGTTTTGGGACACACGCTAGAACTATAACTCTATGTGCAAAATAGCTAGGTTAGCTAACGCCTGCTACACCCAGTGTCCGATATAGAATAGAAAATAGAATTCAACTTTATTGTCATTGCATTGTTACAAGTCCAAAGCAATTAAATTCACTCTCTGCATTTAACCCTTCCCTTTGTGATATTCAATATTTTAAACAGCCATTGCTACAACAGAACGCGGCTACGAAAGTTCAGATGGTTTGAACTGCAGAGGTACAAACCAACCGTCGTCATGACGCCTTCTTCAGTTTTCTGTCTTTTCGTCACTCTGTCGCTTTCGCTGTAATATCGGGATGCAGCAGCAGCCATGTTTGTCGGGTCCACTGGTACTGCATATGTAGAGCAAGGGGCGGGGACGGACCGCTGCCAGTCTCATACCTTATATGGACATCCTCTCCGGAAATGAAGGGGGCGCTAATGATACTTTTTCCTGTAACAGCAGCGTTTATAAATATATTATAAATATTAACAACGCATTTTATTTGACAACGCATTTGAAAACACACAAGAATACGAAAGAGGATAAGAGCCACTGAAAAAAAAAAAAAAAGTTTACTGATTTTTACATTTTATTTCAGTTTAATATGGGGGGGGGGGGGGGGGGGGGGGGGGGGGTCATAATTCTGAGATTTAATCCAGAATTCTGAGATTAAAGTCAGAATTCTGAGAAAAAAATTATAATTCTGAGAAAAAAATCATAATTCTGAGATTAAAGCCAGATTTCTGACTTTTTTCCCCATATTAAACTGGAAAAAAAAAAGTAAAAATCAGTTAACATTTTTTTTCCCCCAGTGGCCCTAATCCTTTTCCGTACAGAACACTTTCTACATTAAAAATACAAATTAAACAGTAAAAAAATGTCTACAAAATGGGTTCAATGACAATCCAAAATAAGCAAGAAAAAGGAATCATTATGGAGATATATTTATCTATTACAACCTATCTATACCAAACAAAAGCCATAAAACATAAATCAAATTAATAATTTTGAGAGAAATGTACATTACATTAAGAAAGTATTTATCCATCCATTTATTTTCACACGCACGCTTCAGGGCTGGTTTTACTCCCGCAGCAGTGTGTCGCAGTGAGCTTGTCGCAGATATGATGCAGATATTTTTATTTTATGCCCAATTTTGAAGAATGGTCTGCGCTATGTTTATTCCACGACACAACACAAGAGGGACAATCACAAACTAGGTACGGCTGAGGGGTTGAGGAAGTGGAGAAAAGCTAGAGGCAAGTTTGTGCAACAATGGAGGGGCGAAAAAGAGCAGGGATCCAGGTGGAAAAAGGGTCCCAGAGTTCTTGCGCACCTCGCTCTTCTAGCTGGTCCATCTTCACGAGTCGTTTTCCACAATGACGGTTATACAAACTAAACAAGCCAGTAAGGTACCAAACAGGAAATACGCATAGTTTAGAGCGGATGTAGATTTAACCAATCAGAGGCCTCCTGTCTGCGGCATTGTCTGTAACCTACAATTTCGGAGAGGTGCATCAGTGTTTGTGGAAGGGGTGGGGGCGTATCTGCATTAACTGCAACACACACGCAGACGACCTGGTTTCTGAGCATAAATCAGCCTTTATCTCTATAGTGGTGTCATGAGGGCTGCATTGGTGGAACCTTGACAGATCGCCAGTCCATCGCAGATTAAGAAAACAGATATAACCAAAGGTTCCAAGGGTTTTAGTGTCATTTTCACATAAAGATATACAAATCAAAATGTTTGTAGCTGCTGAATGGACAGGTGGCTGGGCTGATGCACAGTTGGACACCATATTGAAAGTCCTTGTGTGGTTAACCAAGTGTTTACCAACATTTTGAAATCACAGCACTGATTAATGTGACTAATGGCCACAAGATGTCACTGTGATGTCACAAATATCTGCATAATACCGATAGTGAAACCATGTTTCATAGCAGCTGTCTGAGGACTTCCCCTCAGGATGCATGAAAGAAAAATGAATCAGTGACAAAATAATCCAATGTGACTGCCTCTGAAAAATAAAGGTAAAATATATCAATACAGACTTTCAGGCTCTCCAGGTGGAATTGTTGTTTGTAGTTGGGCTTGAATTTTACTGTGAATTTAAAACTGTACCCATCAACTGGTAACATGGGAAATACAGAGACATCAGGGGGCCTAATATATTCTTTACTAGGTTCAGGATTGCACTGGTAGGAAAGGACAGAGCCAAATGGAACAGGGCCAAATTTAGAGTAAACTAGTTTAAGTTCCTTAATTCTGTTAAAAAATTGCATATAGCAGGCTGTGGATGAATGTCAGTTTTTCACCAATGACCAACACATGAGGATCTGGAAGAGGCTCTGACAAACATTGAGAAACACACAGGAGAAAACCGAATGCAATAATCTAATTGGAAAAAACTGAAGGTAATGAGTTTCCTCATTTTTCTTCATAGACCTGTGACAGCGTACTCTCACTGTGGCCAAATGGTCAACAGCATTTGAGACTGTTCTAAAACAACGTATGAAAAAGTCAACATTATACATCAAGAACATTCCTGCTATCACTCATTGGCTAACAGCTGTGAAACAGATAAGCAATATTTCAAAATGAGCAATATTTTAGTATTATAAAGCTAGCATAGCAAATTAATGGAGAAATAGAAAAATTAATAAATGATGTAAACTCCTGTTGGTAGCTATAACAATCCTAGCATCTCTGCTGCTAACAACTGAGTTAGGACAAAACTCTTAACTTTGTAAGCGAAAAGATATTGCTCTACAAAGAACTTGTAAACTTTGCCGAGTTTGGAGCCTGGAGTAGCGGACAGCTTTTGTGACTGTGCACGTCTCCCAAATTAAATTTGGGTGCATTGGTGAGGGAGTGTGTGAAATCACTACTATCTGAGATACTTGCAATGAAAAACGAAAGTTGAGTGACATCACTGTGAAAAGGGCCTATTGCTTTTGTTGCCTTGTGATGAAAAAATGCACTCTGCCCCAAAGACTGCTAGAAGTACATCAATTTAATCCCCTCAAATCAGAATAAGCCAAAGGGAAACTGATTTCTAATTGGCTTGCACCATCCTTCCATTTTTGCTGAGGTCCATGACCTTATTATATAACATAGGCAAGAGAATGGATATTCCCATGTTTCCTTTAACATTATAGCACATCATCAAATTATTATTTCCTAAATTACTCATGTAGATAGAAGTGGTTATCATTGATTATTTTCTTAAACTACACAATTATAGGCCTAAGTCTGGCTTTGATAGTATGAGAGGAAGCATTGATTTAAAAATACAAACCATCAGACAGGGCAGTGGTGCAGGGGTTAAGAATACAACCCATATACAGAGGCCTTGGTCTTCGACACAGCTGTCAATAGTTAGAATCCTGGCCTGTTGTTGACCTTTGCCACATGTTTCCCCATCTCTCTTATCCCATTTCTTGTCTACCTACTTTCAAAACTAACTAAAATTAAGGAGTGGCAAATTCTCTTTAAAAAAAAAGACAAGATGAAGACAGAAATCTCTTTGAAAGTCTTTCCCCGAACTTCTCGGGGAAGGAGAACTGATTTATTTTCAATACAATGTCGTTCAACAAAATCTTCACACACTGGTAAAGAGTCTTCACAAATCTCACACCCTTTCTGAGGTCTTTTATACTGTATTTTAACATGGAAATATATCTGTGTGCATGCACTAGCATGGAGAGCACAAGCACATGCAAAGTGTGTAAAACTATTTGGGGTGTGCGTTTTGTGTTGTCTGGATGGCACCTCATCCATGGCTTGTGCCCTCATGTCCACTTGGAAGTCTGTGTGTTTGTGGTGTGTGCGTGTACAATCTTTATGCGTTTTGTGAGGATTGATGTGAGCTTCAGGAATAGAATGTTCCTGCCAAAAAACCTGATGCACTTTCCAAGAACCAATGATCAAAGGTCACATATAAACATCTGCACTAAAACTTACCCATCTCTGAGCCAACTTTCTTTTACAGGAAGGCCGCATCTTGCTTCTATCTAATGTGGCAAGTCTACCTTTCTTATCTGAACATTCAGCTCCCTGGCTGTGTGTATAAACCTTTAGTAAAGAATTCGCTTTAACCAAACCCAGAATGTTCTAGATCCCATACAACTAGAATCTAAAAAAAAAAAATAGTAAAGATATAAACCATCAGCCATAATCATTCTGAAAACAAACACATTTATTTTATTGATCAGATGTATTTGTTCATCTATTGATCCATCATAATTGTCCATCTTTACCCTTTGTTTATTATTTTCTTAGCTATAATTATTTGTATTGTTGAAAATAGTCCTACTGATTTGAATAGTCTTGCAGTGAATGGAACACACACATTGTGTATGCATTTTTATGAACCATGGCAACAGTTGTCAAATGGTGAGCATGATGCATGTCCTGTTCTTGTGTCTGTAACTTTTCATTTGTGACTCTTAGAATCCTTGTATATGGCAATAAGCCTCCAGGCTGGAGAAGAGGACATACAGGAACCAAAGTCCAAAAAACAGAAGTGACGTGAGGATTTTAGAAATCCGTGGGCCCCCAAGTTCACCTCCGATAGACGGTCTTCTGCGTAGCATCAGTACTCCCATACAAAAAAATGCAAAAATAGTAAAGAGTGTGACAGAGAAGGCCAAGGAACCAGGGTCAACTTGGAAGACCTTCCCTTTCACTTCCCAGTACACTGCAGCCACGGACCAGGCCAACCCTATACCCAAAAACACATTCACTGCGTTGCTTCCTGTCACATTTCCCACACATGCATCTGCATACTGGTCTTGAGTGGCAGCCACTTTACTGGCAAAGGTGTCTAAAACAGAAAGAAAAAGGAAGAAAGTATTAATGAAATCATTTAATTCTGTTGTGTTTATGCTTTTCCATATGGAACACAAGAACACACTTAAAGAGATGATTCAGAATCTTTAAAAGAGCTTCTATAAAAAAAACAAAAAAACATCCAGCACTTCTTTAAAGCTTTACTGTCTCTAGTATAAATCTAGACTGAAGCAACTATATAGGTCATGTCCAAAGGCCAAAGTCCATTTTTGCTGTCTTGAAATAACATCATCCCAACATTTGATACTTATGCTAATGCTGCTCTAAGAACCCTTGGGTGTTATTACAAAGAAGTGGATAAAATCCCCCATCAGTGATCTGCCTGGTCAATCACATGCTGGAAAGATCTGAAGCATTTACATTTCAAGCTGGCTACACACTTACTACTGTATTTGTCCACTACATTATCTAGTGCAGGGATCTTTTCCAGGCAAAGGACTCCCAAACTGATGGCAAGATGGAGCTGGGACCCCCTAATTATATATATTGTATATAATTGTGTTATATCACACTTGTCCTACAGTCCCTCTATTGCAGATTGAGTCATGTGATGAAATTTATTTCACCCTGGGATAATTAAGTATTTCTAATTCTGATTCCTTATTGATGGGACAGGTGTTGTGAATGAAATGGTGCCCAGCGTGAAAGAGCTCATGTGTGTTGCTGAATGCCTGCATTGACGACTGAAAGACAACTTCTGCCTCAGTTTATTTGTTTACTACAGCGTGTTGAATTCATGTTAACGTGTATTTAAAGACATTTGAATTAGTGGAAAAAATTGCAGGGGGAATATAAAAAAAGTGTAATCAACCAAAACTTTTGCGACCCCCATGCAGTACCTCTGTGGACCCCCTAGTGATCACTGACCCTCTGTTGAAGACCTCCGAACTAGTGCAAAACATTCTCACTAGATTGATCGCACAACTCTCCCCCTTTCTGACTTCCCAGGTGGCTCATCTGGTTTCTAGATAGGGACCCAATTTGCTATGTCGTCTGTCAGAAATACACTCATTCCATATATCTGATAATCGATGGAGGGGAGATGTGTGTTATGCTACATGCAACACAGTCCGTAAGAAAAGCTTAATCAATCAATCAATCAAGCAAGCAATCAAGCAATCTTTATCATCAACTACAATTTTCATTGTATTTGAGATTTCAGTTTCAGTACAAACCGATCATCACATTGATCACACACACATACATACATACATACATTACTTGATACGTATGGGACCGGTCCATTCATAGGCTCTTATTTTAAAATTTACCGGATCCATTTTACTCTCTGCGTGTCTGACCTTATATGTGGCTCAGCTGATATCTGATACATCATCATAAAATGGACTTGGAATACCTGATGGATGACGAAGGGGAGCTGGTCTACAAATGACCTCACTAACTAGGAAAGCTTTTATTTTTGACAGAGGGGAGGATGCATAATGGAGTCTGTGTGAATGTGGGCATCCTGCAATTAGACATTCAGTTAGAATATTTTTTCTTTTGGAATACATTTAAAAAGTTTCCAAAACAGTCATCAACAATATGCTATCTGAAATGGTGGTTTAACTTCCACCAATGAACAGCATCTAATGATTCAATTAGTTATGTTGCTTTTGTCCTCATCAGGTTAGCATTTCCCTAGATTTGAAAACAGCAATAGCTTTCTCTTTTCCTATTTGTAAGTTTTCAAATTTGATGCTGGTTTTACCATACCACATGAACCTAGAAATAATCTAGTTACATGTTTTAAACTTTTTGTCTGGAGTTTTTACAGGTTGTGTTGGAAAGAGGTAAAGAAACATAGGTAAAAATGTTTTTATAGGTTGTGGAAGAGAGGAAATTTCTGAAAAGTAAAATGGTAAATTTTTATGGGTAAAATACTTAAGGAACCAGTTCCGAGATGTTGCCTTACAGATTGCCCGCATCAACACCTAATGGCCAACAACAGTGTGCACACAATTTCCTCCTTATCTGCAAATAAATTGAACTGTTGGGGAAAAAACCCACTCTAAATCAAGTCACAAATCGAGACTGCATTACACTTAAAACACACAATAGAACTCAACACACACAAACAAATTCTACTGCATTTTTGCACCATACATATTTGTTTTTGCACTGCTCTGAACTTCCAAATCAATGCCTTTGGCATCATGTTTTCCCCCCACACTGTTTACATGTGATCACTGCTGCACTTTATTAAAATGGAAATGCTCATTTCACTGCCAAGCTGCTGCTCATTTACTGTCTGTAAGCTGTACAAAAAGAAACTTTATTTTGTATACACTCTGTATAAAAAATGACAATAAAAAAATTACAATAAAAGTTGTCTCAGTTCTCATAATGGTCCTCCAATGCTTCTCCTGAGCAGCCAGGGGACAGAGTGACGCCACAAATAAAGTATAGATATAGATCTCTGTCCACTGGTTACCACCAACCCGCCTGAAAACGTGGCATCAAATCCTACCTAAAACTGCTGGCTAAGGATTAGGTTAAATTCAATAAGATCGTTATTACGCAGATTGGAGATCATTAAAATTAGTGTTGCTTTGGTGTGTAACTTTACCAAAACAATGTCGAACTCAATGTCGTAATTTTCTCTGGTCCCCTTCCTGATCTGACCAGTGAGGACATGTTTAGCCGCATGTTGTCATTTAACTGCTGGTTGTCTAAGTGGTGTCCTGAAAAAAACCTAGGCTACTTTATTAATTTGCAATCTTTGTGGGGAAAACCTGGTCTGATTCGGGGAGACAGCATTCATCCCACTTTGGATGGTGCAGCTCTTCTTTCTCGGAATCTGGCCAAATTTATCAGTCCTCAAACACACTGACAACCCAGAGTGCAGACCAGGAAGCAGAGTCGTAGTTTAACGCACCTCTCTGCAGCTTCTCTACTATTACCTTTACTCCATCCAGACAGTGTCTTGCCAACAACCAAAATCAAATAAACGAGAAAAGATTTCCAAAGTAGTAAATCATAACAATCTAATAAAAATTTAAATAAATCCATTTGGGGATAAAAAGTATTAAAACAATTAAATGTGGTTTATTTAACATTACATAACTTTCTTTAAAAAGTCTATTAGTTAAAAACTTGATTTATAATAATCCCAGTGATTTATGTTGCCTGCAGCAAGAGCAAGATTATGTAAGTATAAATGAGGCAATGCCCTCTAGTTATTTAAATTTTCAAATACCCAGAAATTGTGGGCTAGAAAGAGCAGTAGCAGCAATCTTTCAGTCTGACTTACTGATAACTCCAAATGCAGTTAACAATTTAAACTCTTTAAACATTTTAATCTTAGTTTCCCATATCCCATATCGTTTTGCAACTTTGTATCATCCACCAGGTCCTTATTCAAAATCTTTAGATGAGTTGTCAGAGTTCCTATCTGATTTGGTGTTGACTACTGACCGGGTCATTATAGTGGGGGATTTGCAACAACCATGCTGACATTGAAGGTGATAGCTTCACCCCTTGCTCACACTGGCTCCAGTGCGGTTACCGAGCCGACGGAGACCGCAACTCCCGCACACCCCCTCTCACACCGCCCTTTTGACTACGGTGCGGTGCGGCTTCGGCAACAGGTCCGGAGATTTAACTCGCGAGAACAGAAGTTCACTTGAGTTCACGTAACTTCACGCGATAACACGGCCCAAATAAGGATATTTGCGGAATTTTCTGCAGCGGCGGAGTGTCTCGGTAACCGCAGCCGGACAGCTCAGCAGCCGGTGAGAGAGGTTTACGTCTTTTTAATTACTTGGAATCACTGCAGCGCCGCACCCACCGCACCGCAACGGTAAGACCGGAGTCGGTGTGAGCCTGGGGTAAGCCTTTAATGCTTTCTTAAAAGCTATTGGCTTTGTTCAAAATGTTCATAGTCCCACACATTCTCATTTTCATACTTTTAACCTTGTGCAGGCATATGGCATTGAATGTGAAGTTATAACAGTTTTTCCTCACAATCCTCTCTGACCACTTTTTAATAACCTTCAGGATTACTCTAACAAAATTCTCCTCCCCCCCAAAAAGATTTTGCTTCAGCAGATCATTATCAGATAGTGCAGTTATAAATTTGAAAGAATCTGTTTTACTTTCTCTCTCCTATGTGTCGCTGAGCAGTGCTGCAGAGAGCAAAAGGTTTGTTTATTCTCGTTCACAGGTTTACAATTTTGTTGATGGGGTCTCTAGTTCTCTGCATACTGCATCAGACATCGCAGCCCCTTTGAAAAAAAAAAGAAGAGAAAATAGGAACCTGACTCCCTGGTTTAATGCAGAGCTGTGCACGCTGAAGCAAAATGCTAGGAAACTGGAGGAAAAATGGTGCTCCACGGGACTACGGTAATCCTATCTAGTCTGGAAAAAGATATACACGGGAAAGATTTGTCAGAATAAGAATGTACTTACCAGGTAGTGAAGTCCCAAGTGCCACAAAGACAACTGCAGTGACACTGTCTCTAAGGCCAACAGTGCAGCCAAAATGGGAAGCAAGGTCTCCAATAATAGCAGTTAAAATACCAATGACAGAGATGGACACAATGAAGCAGGCCCAGCCATTCCAGTACTTAGTGGGCGGGACAAAAGCAAATAAAAGCTTCCAGAAAACGCAAAATATGTGCATAAAATAGTCAAAGCAGTTGGGCATTCTTTGCTCTTGTCCATCCTCATCATCACCTGTTTAAAGAAAAGACAGTTATTTTTTTCATTAAATAACTATCCAAGCAGCTGAGAGCAAGAAAAAAGCAAACCATATTTATCTTAGAATGCTTGGCAGACGGCTGAAGGGTTTGAAACAGACTATTTGTAATTGTTAATTGTGTTCTCCACCTTGGAAAAACCTCCCTCCCACTGAAGAACAGTAACCAGAGAGCACTATATTGAACCACTTTCACTTTGATGTTTTCTAGGTATAACATAACAATTTCTTTGTATATTTTGTAATTTATGTGTTTTCTAATTGGTCTGAAACTCTTCTGCTTAACTGTGTTAAAATGAATGTGGTGCATTTCATTTATGTATTTTTTTTGTTATGGACAGTTGAAGAATATATCAGGAAGCTGAATTTAAACTGCAAAACTGCATCAACAACCTTTGAAGTTCAAATAGATACGGGGGGGGGCTTTGGGGGGCTAGAGCAGTTTTATTATGTGTGATGGTAAAAAAGGGAAAAGGAATGCTTAATTATCAAATCTTTAATCTTTAAGGACCCGGTTTCTGAGTCAAATTTTGATCCAGAAAGTAAATAGATTAGACAAAAATCAACCGGAGAACCTTTGGTGTCCAACCTGCTAAAGCAAACTATGTTCAGATTGCATCATTTTATCATCAATCCTGCTCTCAGAGCATCAGTTTGACTTGCTTTCTCTGTTTTATAGCTTTAATAAAGTGCCTGATGGATATAAAGCTGATTCAAAGCATTTTGAATGAAATATTTTCTTTCATAAAACAACAAACCCTATCTAGTTGCACAGTTTAGTATAGCCACAGCTCCAGACAGATTTCCACATTATTGTGGTCTAGGCTCCAGAACAACAAGAACTGCGATGGATAACAGTGAGTTACTGCAGGCGAAGACCCACAGCTCGAATCCCACCGGCCCGGAGCCATGAGCCGAACAAGGTTAATACCACATTGGAAGGGTTGTGTTTCCCACCCGGACAGCAGAAAGGATCGGTGCTTGGACCGCTCGCTGCGATTGGGTTACCGATGGACTGCTTTTCCCATCCCGGCACAGCAGCGGAGCACAGCCTGCTATCCAGAACTGCCAGCACCACACACAGGGCTCCAACACCAACCCCCAGGCTTCACGTCTGGCTGCAGCAGCATGCTGGCAACCGAACCAAACCCAGCCACCACAGAACCAATCCGAATCCTGTGATCCCCTCTTCAAACAAAAGGTCTACTCTGGTTTAAACTAATTAAAAAACAGCACCATCTGGAAAATGTTCGGAAAGATAATGAACTTCCACCGGATCTGCATAAGATCAAAGATCATTTAGCAGCAGTGATTAAACCAGAAAGCATTAATAAAGCCCCTAAGACTTGTAAAATGACTGCTTCCTGACTAAACTGACGTCACGGCATCCTACAGCGCCTTGGTCACATGAACAAATGAGTAATTTAGCGTCTTCTGCTATCTTAGTGAATTATTTAATGATATAAACATGGTATCTCTGCTCCCGTCTCCTTGAACCCCAGTCGGCCTCGGTAGATGGCCGCTCACACCGATTCTGGTTCTGCTGGAGGTTTCTTCCTGTTAAAAGGGAGTTTTTCCTCTCCACTGTCACTACAAGCATGCTTAGTCTGAGGGATTGCATTCGAGTCAATGAGTCGATGCAATCAACGGGTTTTTCTTAGATAGAGAACTTTAAATCAATTAGACTGATATCTGGTGAACTGTAAAGAGCCTTGAGATGAGGTGTATTGTGAATTGACGCTATATAAATAAACTGAATTGAATTGAAACAACAAAATGCTGGAAATATTTTCACTTGTAATGTATTAAATTTTGTACACACTATCAAATGAGAAACTACAAGTATGTGTTTTTTATTTGAACTTTAAGGGTGTGAACAGTTATGCACCTAGTCCTTTTTCACTTTTTCCATTTATTAACTTCAAAGTATTTAAAAAAAGGTTTGCAGAAATTCTGGAGAGATGTTAGTGATTTTTAAACATAAGAACCCAAGGTCTTTAACAGGGGGTTGTATATTTATGAGTGCATCTGTATTTGTGTTTTATTTTTATTTCTTCATCAAGAACTTTTACGATATGATATTCTGTTTATCTGAGAGGAAACTAAAATTAGCAAGAACTTGTGCCAAGGTACAGCCTAAATGACCTGATCACGAGCAGAGCAAATTTAATGCTAAAAGAGAAACCCTTCAGCTCATCCATCAATTAAAAAAGAAAACAGCAAAAGCAAACTGACCTGCATTCACTGTGACAGCCTCTATGAACTGCTCTTTCCACGAGTGAGTGCCAATCACTCCAGCTAGATTTGTGTCTTTGAGAAGTTGGTCCACAGTGACCTATTGCATTAAATAAAACAGGTTAGAGGGCAATAATCATATATTTCAAGGAAGACAATGTATTAGATGAGCCTTCAGCTAATGGTACAATACTAAATAAATGTCTAAAAAAAATGTAAATTAAATGTAAAAATAAAAGCAAAGATGAAGAATTGCTCACACAGCAAACACTAATGGGCAGAGAGAGATTATTCTGTATGTAAGAGAACAACTGCAAAAGAGTACAGCTGCCGTGAAAAAGTACATATATTTATATATATATATATATATATATATATATATATATATATATATATATATATATATATATATATATATATATATATATATATATATATATATATATATATATATATATATATATATATATATATATACATATATATATATATATGTATGTATGTATGTTTACCTGGTCTATGACTCCATTGGGAGTCTGATGCATTTGGGGAGGTGGGGTGGGGGGGAATCACATTAAGGTTAATGAAGCAAGACTCAGTGCCCTCTGAAGCATTTAGCTGCAGTACATCTTTTTTAGTACACATGTTAAACTAAATCAAAATATAGACATCTTAAAACAAGTTGGGATTAAAACATATTTCTACATAAAAACAGGAAGAATAGCTAAATAGACACTTTACTTCTGAAGCACTAAAAGCATTCTCTATGAGGTGCACACCTTAAAATCAAAGGCCTCTTTTATAATGACTTCTAGTCTGCTGTGTTCTCCAAGAATAGGTTTGCCCATCTCAGAAATCCTCCTGGCTTCCTCCTCCTCAGGAGTTGGATTACCTGTTAGATGGTGCATATTTTAGGTCATGTCAAACACTTTTTATTTTTGAAAACAAACACATTAAACTTCCTCATGTCTTTCCTTTTCTGTCAGTCAAGGGAGGGTTGTTGCCCAGCTCAAACAGGGAAACAGACTTGACAAACAACCATGCACACACAAAGGTCAATTAAAGGTACAGTGTGCATTGGAATTCAATGATATAACTTTAATATGTAATATAATTATCTATATGTACATTCTTTATTAGAACATACATATAGATAATTCTATATTCTCGCACTTTAATGTCTGTAAGTGGTATGTCTGTATATATATATATTTATTGTCTATGTCTGTATGTCTGTATTTTAAAGTGTGTCTATGTCTACATGTGAAAGTAAGAAACATAATTTTAATTCTTTGCATGACCAGTGCATGTAAAGAAATTGACAATAAAGCCAACTTGACTTGACTTACAGTCCATGGGAGTGGGGTTCGAACTCAGAACCTCAGAATTCCAAGCTCTATGCATGAACCACTAGACTACCACTCCCCAAAATGTTGCAATTATGCCTTTGGTCATGTGTTGTCAGTGTGATGCGGAGTCTGCGACATGATTTAGAGATTTTTTAACAGTACTGTCTGTGGTGGTTGGGTAGAAGCTGTTTCGCAATCTACTGGGCCTGCTTTGGATGCTTCAAAGCCTCTTCAGAGAGGGCAACAGGGAGAACAGTACATGATGGGGGTATGAGGTGTCATTGAATATGTTACGGGCTCGGGACACGCAGCGCTGGGATGAAATGTCTTTTATGGATGGAAGAGGAGCCCCAATGATCTTCTCTGCTGTTCTCACCACTCTTCTCACCTTCTTCCAGTCTGAGGCGCTGCAGCCTCCACAACATACACTGAGACAGCTGGTCAGAACGCTTTCTATGGTACTTCTGTAGAAGGTGGTGAGGATGGGTAGGGTAGGTGGACTCTCCAAATTCTCTGCAGGAGGTACATGTGTTTTGTGCCCTTTTGACCAGTGAGGTGATCTTTACAGTCCAGGTAAGGTTGTCTGTGATGTGCACCCCCAGGAATTTGATGCTGTTGACCACCTCTACAGATGAGCTGTTGATGAGTAGTTGAGCGTGGCTAAGTTGGTTCTTCCTGAGGTCAACGATGATCTCCTTTGTTTTCGCCACATTGGGGATCAGGCTGTGTCAGGTTGTTTTCTCTGCACCAGTCAGCCTCCTCTCTATAGTCCTGGTCGTTGTCGTCTCTGATGAGGCCCAACACCGTAGTGTCATCTGCAAACTTTAGGATGAGATTGGTGGTGAACCTTGGGACGTAGTCATGTGTCACCAGGGTGAAGAGCAGGGGGCTCAAGATGCAACAATGAGGGGAGCCTGTGCTTAGGGTGATGACATCAGACGTGTCATCTGGTGCCTGAGGTCTGTTTGTGAGGAAGCCTAAAAGACAATTGCAGAGGTGTGTATTGAAGCCCAGCTGTTCCAGTTTTTCTATCAAATGCTGTTGCATTATGGTGTTGAAAGCTGAACTGAAGTCCAGGAACAGCATCCGCACGTGGGTGTTCTTCTCCTCCAGGTGTGCTAGACTCAGTTGAAGAGCAGAGGAGGTGGCGTCTTCAGTGGAGTGGTTTTCATTGGTATGCGAACTGGAACGGGTCAAATGTTGGGGGGGGAGAACGGAGATGATGTTGTCTTTAACTTTAGTCTTTAACTTTAGTCCGTGCGTCAGGCCGGTAGTCACTGAGTAAGATGAATGCTGGGGTACTGTTTAGTGCCTCAAACTTTCCAAAGAAATTACTTGGTTCTTTTAAGAAGTCAGCATTTGCTGCATCTACCGGTAAGCAGTGTGTATTGTAGTGAGTAATCATATGCAGTAGTCGAGGTAGGGACAAATGCAGAGAACAAATTTCCCACTGGGATCTTCTGTGGCTAAGGAACCCAATTGGCAGAGGTGGCAGTGTGTCACTGCTAGCTCAGGAAGAGAGCTGAGCAGCTTAGAGAGGATTGCTGGGAAACAACGTAGATGGCCTGGAAGAGGCTACAGCTGGGCTGGGCTAACAAGAGGCTAACCAAGGAGGATCGAAGAAGAACAGCGAAAGATCGGATTGGCCTGCTGGTTGGAGAGAGCCTCGAAAGCAGGGATGTGGTTGTGGCTGATAGTGAGGAGGACGAAGGGAAATTGAAGGAGTCCGCCAGGGTGACAGAGCAGGAAGCAGGGATGACAAAAGACATCAGCTGTACCATGTCTGTTGGAGAGGTAGGACTACAAAACTGTCTTTCTAGCACCAAATTAAAACCTCTTTTTTCAAAAGCCACACTCAAACCTCTTTGGAGGTTTATCCTTTTCAAAACTATTTTCTGTCTTTCATTTTGATTTGAAAAAGCTTGTCTCTGTGGTCCTTCACTAAAACAGTGCTCAATTCATGATACTTTCTCATCTCCTAAATTGTATGATTGTCAATTTATTTGAGACAACAATATTGAAGAATTTATTTATTTGATGCTGCGATCTAATGTAAATAAACCTTGTCATCACTTGACAAGATAGGTAAAGCGGACGTCACAGAAGCCATTTTGTAATACGACTCTCTATTGTTGGAAAGGAGAAGCAGTGTGGGGCTGGTTCATGTCACTGTGGTCTAGAGTCTTGTCATTAGATGTAGCTGAAAATTACACATTGTAGCTTTAAGAGACACCAATCAACCAATCAGTCATGTATTTTGACAATGGGCTACCAGGAAAAACACACACACACAGCTCTTTAAAGAGCATACAAATCCATGCAGAGAGACCCTATGCCAGTGTTCAAACCTAGAACCTTTTTGCTTTAAGATAGCAGTGCAACAAACTGCAGCTGCCTGAACAACAAAATAAACAAAACCATAACAACTTTCACACACATGCAAAAAATGTGCTTTTGCAGCGCCGAAGTTCATAGGATTTGTTGTTTAATGTTGGAGGGTCAATAAGATTGTCGCCTTTATGAAATAATTGGTAGATATTTCAAATATTAGGTCATTTAAGAGCAGCGTGACCCTAATTTCACAGAGCTTGTAATCAAAGACATAAACATATGTTGTTTAACCTATTTTGCATCTTTGAGGTAAATATTTCTATCAAGGTACACAGGCATTAATATTTCCTTTTCTAAACCATCTATGTGACCAGGGTAATTCTATCAGAGAGTTCAAACAAAACTGTTTGTTTAAACATTGCAGTATCTTTTAAAGCTGCAAAAGCTTCCTTTACCACATACTACAGCACACACCAAAGAAAAGTCTTACCTTGGTTTAATAGTAGAGCTATAAAGAACAAGATTATGAGTTTGGAATGTATACTCTTCTTTTGTTTTGTTTTTTACTTTGAAAGGAAATATGTAGTAGAATACAGCAAAAATGACTAAATGGTCACTTACAAGAAAGCCCTTACCCAGTTCTTCCATTATCTCTTAGAGTTATTAAGGTTATACAAACTGTCACTAAAAACAAAAGACTAACTGCACCCCTTTTCCATTGCTTCTCAAAGGCTCCATCCATCCATCCATCCATCCATCCATCCATCCATCCATCCATCCATCCATCCATCCATCCATCCATCCATCCATCCATCCATCCATTCAAAGGCACTTCTCACATTATCTCTCTGTCATCAATATGGCTGCCAATGTCTACACATGTTGTGCTTAACTTCCTTAGTGTTATGGTTAATTCTTACATTGTTTGCTATTTTTTCCACACAGAAATACTTAGACTATGTTTGGGTTGCTTTGGATGATATTGTCATGCTAGGAGTTACACTATTCTAGAAAAACAAGAAAAGTGTACTGTAACTCCTATTTAATTCTGTATTGCTTGAAAAGCATTTTTTCCCAGCCTTATACCTATTTTAGCCATTTAAAGGCCATCACCTTGCAAAGATGCAGGTTTCCGAAACATGCAATTGGCTTAATTTTTCTTTTATTATAAACAAAAATATGATCATATTTGACTACACACATACAGATGGTGCGATTAGCATACAGTGTTTTCTTTCTTTTCCTAGACAGAAACACCAATGGAAATAATTGACTGTAACCTTTTTGTACCAAAGAAAGCATTAATGGATCGCTGCTGCTATGTGGTTTTTCTATGTCTGCTTCTGTTTCCTTGAACCCTAGTCGGCCTGAGCTGATGGCCGCTCACGCTGAGCATGGTTCTAGTTCTGCTGGAGGTTTTTTCCACTTCAAAGGTAGTTTTTCTCTCCACTGTCACTACAAGCATGTTTGGTGTGAGGGGTTGTTATAGAGTCAACATAATGCAAGCAAATGTGTACTTTCACCACATGCTGATCCAGGAAGAATCTTAACAATCTGAATGTACAATTATGACAGGAGTTGCGAATACATTGAATAGATACACTGCTGTATGTAGGTCTGTTAATTAGTGATTCAGTTCATTTATTGATATCTAACAAATTTCATCTCAAAGTTTCCAGTTTGCCACTATTTAAAGTTCACATAACCGAAAAGTTATCCAAATTCTTCAACCTTTTTGGTCTAAAAAAGAAACTGCTTTGTAACAATGACCAGTAACTAGTTAGATTTTTTTGTACTGAGTAACTAACTCACTAGATGGATCTGGTAATTCCTACTAGCTTATTTTATTTTTTAAGTAATGTTCCCAACACTAGGATAAAGGTGGGGCCGGTTTGCGTATCTTCAGCAGCTGATGTTTGAAGACCAGGACACACCTTGGACGGGTTGCCAGTTTTGCTAAAACCTAAAAAACATAAATTTTTCACTAAAGAATTTAAGTAGGTGTTAATTATGAACTATTCCCCCAGAGTTCATATTTCATTGGCGTAGCCTACTTATAACCAAACAGAGCACTCTCACATTTCCTTGTATTTAAAAAATAAACATTCTGCTCAGACTGACTATTTAACAGTCAATGTAACGCTACCTGTAGCCTAACTCTAAGAAATTAACTTTGATTAAAACATATTATTATTTGTGTAATAGATATATTATACAATTATTTAATTATTCTTTAATTCATTTATTTATTATTAATATTTTTAAAGAAAAAAACTATGTTAATAATTTTTTAGAAGTTCTTATAAATGAACCACAGAGGTTTACAGTAATAACTTTCCAGGTTAACAAAAAATACATTTAGAACAATAACTTAAACTTTTCCTGCTTCATGGAGCTCAATTTAATAATGCTAGGAATAAATAAGCTACAAATTGGTCATTTATTACAATTCATTAATTGAACAGGAGAGTAAACATACTGCTGTAATTAATATGAAACCATGTGTAAATAGTAAAATACTGTAAAATGTTCAGATTATTGGCACCTGCTGGACTGAAGGTGTGGAATATTTTTTCTAAGGCTGGTTTGTCTAAGGGGAGTGGTGGCCTAGTGTGCAAGACCCTTGACCCCACATTGCTCCCAGGTCGCCGCACAATGGCAGCCAACTGCTCCCCAAGGGGATGGGTTAAATACAGAGAGTGAATTTCATCACTTTTTACTTGTGATAGTTTAATGACAATAAAGTTGAATTGTATTCATTCTTAAATAAATGTCTTAGGGTCAGAAGCAACAGAGTCACAAATTCCCTGGGATCTGTGTGCCTTGGTTTCTTTTCAATTCAGCTCAAATCGAAACACTTCTATCATACTTTACTGATACACAATGGAATTTGAACAAGGGAAAAACACATCTTGGGGCTTTCAGTGGAAAAGGGACCATTAATGAGCACTTTGGTAGGTGTTTCCCCATTAAACCAAAGGAGCAGTAAAAACACTGATACTTAGTTACTGATTCTGATGTTGGAAAGTTCAAGCTAAGCAGTTATATGGGTTTTGTGTTAGTCTACCTTAAACGTAAACATTAAAATATGACTTCAACTCCCTTATGGTTATAGCTAGAGAATCACGAGTCACATAGGATGATAAGAAAGTGAAACAACTTGCAGACTTACCAGAAATCCCTCTCTTCAGCCATTTCGGGTCCTCGAGCACAATGAAGAAGTTTTCCTGCTTTTCATACTCCTCCACATTTATAATGCGGATCTGTAATGTCTGACTGAAAATGTTGAAAAGATATTTTTGTCTTTAGGGAATAAATTAAATATTTATAGAACACCACAAACAGTATATGTGTGTGGTGAAAAAAAAATCAATCTCCTATTCATTCTCATTCCATATATTAAGTTTTGATTTTGCAAGCATTATTAGACAACTTGCTCTGCCATTTAGACCCAATGGGGGCATGAACAGAGCATGGTGGAGTAAAAAATGTGTGGTGCTGTTTTAGGCATATTTTTCCATCAAGATGCTGTCCTATTATTGGTCAGCTAAAAGATTTTAAAGCATTTTACCCGATCAGATCCTTAGGAAATACAGAAAGAACACGCACCTGTCATTCTGCTCAAGTCTAAATCGCACTAATCCAACAACAAAAATCTAATGTAAAATAATACTCACTAAACCCTAATATATCTATCTCTGTTAGGGCAGAAAATAGGTTTCATCTTTAACAGGCAATTCATTATTCATTAATAACAGATACTAGCATATGATTAAACATACAAAACCTTCAGAAAAAGTGGTTCTCATATATACAATGCTGTATTTTATTTAGCTTTGCATTTATATATATAAATATAACAAGTACATTTCTCCACTGTGAGATCAATAAAGCCAGTCAATCGTTTTTTTTAGATATATCATGCCTTATCTTTTGCTATGCTAGTTGCATTTTTAGAATAAAAAAGATATATTAAAATATCCAGTGTTTATCAACTTGTATTTCCTTTTATATGTCTGCAGATAAAGGTCCAAATCCTACATTAAAGTAAACAAGACGGAACCTCATATCAACTGTTAAACATGAACAAGTAACTAACAGCTCATATCTACAATGAAAACTTTTGGTCAGTTCCTAAAATGTGGCTGGAACTTTAATTCGACAACAATGGGAAACCAGTATTTTGAATTAGGCGAAAAATGATGCCTCACCTGGTCTGTTCATTGGTGAATTCTACCTCCCCTCTGGCCTCCTCATAATCTATCCCAGCCTTGGCCGTACCATCCTCAGTGTGGTATGGAACTGCAACTGTGCCCCTGCAGCCGGAGTTCCTCAACACAGTCACTGTCACCATCCCAGTGTTCTCACTCACTCGCAGCATCTGCTGCCCAAAGGTAAAGATCCCAGCATGATCATCATCCAGTATAGTGACTGTGGCTAGCATAGGCTCCACCAGTTTGCCCTTTGGAGGAGTCCCTGTCCCTTCATTACTTCCCTCTTCCAACCTCAGATTCTGAAGACGGACAAAGAAATGTTCATCCTCTTCAAAGATGTCGTCATCCAAAATCCCTACCTGTACAGAAAACAGGTTTATTCAGCCATCCTTATGCAAGAAACACAGTGACAGTATGAACAGCGACCCATTTATCAGGCAGAAAGTACCACGTTCTGCTTCCTATTTGAAAACACAAAGGTCTGCTGAGATTAAAAATAAGAAATATTTGAAAAACCCATGTATTGCTTGGATCTTTGGGTTTTCTCTTTTAAAACAAGACATGCAAAAAGAACATAATAATCGGTCATTTTTCTTTTTATAAAAACCTTAATACTGAAAAAAATGTATTATCCTCTTAAAGTAACTATACAAATAAAAAAAACAAAAATGGGTTGTTTCAGATTAGCACAACAGCCGCATGATTTTTATTTAAAATTTAGAATTTTAAAATTGATCAGTTTATTTAAGGTTTTTGACTTTTATTTAAAAAAGAGGCAGAATTAAATTTAGGAAAAATAGGGAAAAACAAACAGGTCTCATGCAAGAACCGCTGGTATGATAAAAATTTGTTCTTAAATCATTCGTAAAAGTAATTAAGGCGAAGATGTCGCTTTTACCATTTTTCTCCTATTTCGAACCTTCTTTCAGCTACGAACAAACTTTACCAGTGGTCCAAACTGGACCTAGCTTTCATACACAGTCAACTGTTATCCAAAATATTTTTTTTCTCGAAATTACTACATTTGTTTTACTTAGAAGCGATTGTCCATTTAATTAGGCTGCATTCCTATATATTATACAGCTCTGCAATTGTAATATATATTATTATTGGCTGATGAGGGAACTATGGGTCACTACACCTGCAAATGGAATGTCGGTATCCAGGGGACTCTGCTTTAATTTGTTGCCATTTCGTCAAAAGAAACCACCGCAGCTTCTTGGCTTTGTTATTGCACTAAATGCTAACATTTTATATAAGTTTATGCATGAGAGAGAAATGGAGAGTAGATTAAGAGATGATGCTAGCCAGTCCACTGCAGCAGTTTCTTCAGGCCCACGTGGCTCGTTCAGTCTGTTCAGTGAGTATTAGCATTCAGTTAAAACTCTTCAAATCATCAGCAGTTAAACCAGAAAGTTTATTTCAAATAAACACAAACACAACTATCTATTCTACCAAATTCACCCAGCAGAGCAAGTATTAATTTGTAATTTGTCCATTTTAAACTTAAGGTAGACTCGATACATATTGTGAACTTTTTACTTATTACACTAGCATCCAAACAATAATTTTCTTTTGCAGAGGAAGTCCAGCTGGTAGGCCTACACTACCAACACATTAAGCATGTCTTTCATTTAAACTCTAAAATGAACTAAAATCAGCATTTTTCATTTTCTGAAATATTTGTTTTTCTAATTTATTTTCAAAAGTCAAAAAATAAATAGCAGAAAATCCAGAGAACCACCCATACATACATAGTCTCATTATACAGAGCCAACAAAAAAGTTGATAGTAGGTCAGCAGAACAACAGAACACCACTTGAGTTTAGGTCAGGTGGGCCATTCCTTCCAACCACACCTCGCCAGGTCTCACTGTCATTGCCCACGTGAGCGTTGAAGTCCCCCAGAAGAACAAGGGAGTCCCCAGGAGGTGCACTCTCCAGTACCCCCTCTAAAGACTCCAAAAAGGGTGGGTAATCTGAACAGCTGTTTGGCGCATAAGCACAAACAACAGACAGAACCCGTTCTCCCAAACGTATGCGGAGGGAGGCAACCCTCTCGTTCACCAGGGTGAACCCTTACGTACAGTCACCAAGATGAGGGGCAACAAGAATGCCCACTCCTGCTCGGTGCCTCTCACCAGGGGCAACTCCAGCCCCTCTCAAGGAGACTGGTTCCAGAGCCAGAGCGATGCGTCAAGGTAAGTCCAACTATCTCTAGTTGGAACCTTTCAACCTTATGCACTAACTCAGGCTCGTTCCCCACCAGAGAGGTGACATTCCATGTCCCAAGAGCCAGCTTCTTCAGCCAAGGGTCAGAACACCAGGGTCCCCACCATCGACTGCCACCCATCACACATTGCACCAAACCCCTTTGGCCCCTCCTACAGGTGGTGAGCCCATTGGAAGGAGGACCCATGTTTCCGGCTCCATGGGTAAAAGCCCGGCCACCAGGCGCTTGCCAGCGTGCCCCACCTCCAGGCCTGGCTCAAGAGTGGGGCCCTGGTGACCCCGCGTCCAGGAGAAGGAACACTACGTCCATTTGTTGTATTTATCATAAGGGGTCTTTGGGCTTTGAAAACATGCACATTGAAACTGGAAAACCAGCTCCACCCCTTAATAATGGCTGTCGTTGAGCTCGTTATTGGCCTGCAATACCCGATACTGGCCCATTCCTCTGAAAAGTCCGTCGTTAAGGGTCATTGTAGGCCTGGCTGACCTGGCAAGATATTTTGTTACCCTGCATAGTGATGGGGGTTGAGATTGTTTTGGGAAAGAATCAACTGTATCGCTGCGTTGTAGGTTTTTGAGAGCTGAAACCTGAGTCCACCCCCTCTGTTTAAGGTTGTTTTCTCTATTTTAACATAAATGGTTTTCTTCATACCCCTTTCAAACCAACTGTCTTCTTTATCTAAAATTTGAACATTCTGGTCCTCAAACGAATGTCCTTTGTCCTTAAGGTGTAGATGGACAGCAGAGTCTTGTCCGGAGGATGTCACTCCTCTCTGTTGAGCCATGCATCTGTGGACAGGTTGTTTGGTTTCTCCAAAGAAAGATCAGAGCACTCCTCACTGCACTAAACTGCATACACCACTCCACTCATCTTAGGTTTTGTCTTTAGGATCCACTAGTCTCTGTCTAAGGGTCTTGTTTGGTTTAAAATGTACTGGGATTTTGTGTTTGGAGAAACACTCAATCCTCTTGAATTTTTCAGAGACTCCAGCAACATCTGGGATGGCGAAGTTTTTGTGTTTAATCTTCTCACCGTTATGTTCTGCATGTCTTTTGGTTTTTCTTGCTGATTTGACAAACGCCCAGTTTGGGTATCCACAGGTTTGAAGCACATCTTTGATGTGTTTCTGTTCCTTGTGCTTCACTTCTGGTGTTGTAAGGTTCTGATGACTAAAAGGTTGTGTTCCAGTTGGTGGTGTGAGTCAAAAAGAAGATATTGGTCTGTGTGAGTGGGTTTCCTATACACTTCAATGTTGAGGTTTCCATCTCCTTCCATCCTCACCAAACAGTCCAGACCAGAGAAGGTAGCTTGTTGTGCTTGGCATCCTCTCTGGTGAATTTGATGTTGTGGTCAACCAAGTTGATGTGTCTTGAGAAAGCTTTCACTTCTTTTAGCTGGATTTTGACAAATGTGTCATCCACATCTCTAAACCAATGGCTTGGTGGTGTTCCTCTGAAGGTGTCCAAAGCTCTCTTTTCCATTTCTTCCATTTAAATATTGAATACAATCGGTGACACTGGAGATCCCATGGCACAACCATGCATCTGTCCTTAAAAATTATCCTTGAACTTGAACTAGGTTGTGGAAAGACAAAGGTCCAGTAGGGTGCAGATCTGGTCCTGCGTAAAATTAGTTCTGTTGTTTAGGTCACTGTCTTGTTGAAAACGTTTCCTGTTTCTGCTACCTCTGATATGGCTATGCACTTGAAAAGATAAGTAACATCATAAGACACCAGGGTATCTCCTGGCACCATCTTTAAATGTTTGACTTTATTTGCAAAGTCTTTGGAGCTTTCTATGTGATGTGATGTGTTTCCCACCCGGGGCTAAAATATTAGTAAGCTGTTTAGCAATGTTGTATGTTGCTGAGTTAATGCTGCTGACAATAGGTCTGAGTGGTGTTCCTCCCTTGTGGATTTTTGGGAGTCTGTATAAACATGGAATGTCATCCCGTGGATATAGTCAAAATTAGGAAGAACGGTTAAATACCTTGTCTTTTTGTAGTGGTTTTAGGTAGTCCGTGATTTTCATTTTGTAGGCATTCTTTTTTCAAGAACTCATGTGTGTTGCTGTCACTCAATAAAGTGAAAATTTATTTCGTTTTTTTTTTTTTTTTTTTTTTTATGGCACTAGTGGCTTGTTTTTATGGACAGTAGGACTAAGGCCTCCATACATGGGTTGTGTGCACTAACCACTGTACCACCAAAGCACGCCCCAGTAGAGTGAGAATTTTATCCCGGTAGTCTGAAGTATTGAGGACTAGTGTGTACGCACAGAGGTCCTCAACACTTCGGACAACCAGGAAAAAAATCTTACTCCAACCAATGGTACTTTTTTACATTTTTACTGGAGTAAAGGTCTTAAATTGATCCTCTAACTTCTACAAAACTGTTTCTAAACATTAGAATTTATACTTCTACAGGAGTAATAAACATGAATACGTTTGACACCTCTGGACCAGATATTTTAATAAAAACCTGGTAAAACAAACAATATTTGACTTGAAAGAAAGTTTTTAAGCATGAGTGTAAGCCATGAAGGAAAAACTTCAGTTGCTCATTCATGGCTTACATGCATGCTTGGCTTCCAGGCTTTTATGTGTTCTTGCCATAGCGGATGTGAATCCAGTTTTTGAATTACATCCTCATTGTGCAGCTCTAGAGTGTTGGTAAAGATCTAATTATTTTAATGTGTGCTGAGCAGGGACATTTCTGAAAGTATCAGGACAATACGACTTGTGTAACACATGACTGCTCTAAGCCCTAAAATAAGAGGTAAAATCATTAGTGAACAAGATGGAAACACACAAACCATTACCATTTAAGTAATTGTCTTACCTTGATCTCTTTTCGAGTTTCACCTGGTTTAAATACAAGGGTCCCCTTGTTAAATTCATAATCTGATCCAGCATTGGCAGACCCGTTTTCTGTACAGTAGTCCACATAGAATGTGTTCTGGCCTGTGCCTCCATCAAGGACCACCCACAGGCTAACTGAGCCACAGTTTTCTGTGCATTGGTATAGCACATTCTCAAAACAGATATTTGAGCAGTTTGCTCTGTCTTGGTCTTGTTCTTGAGAGCGTATTTTTTGATCTGCTGCATGCTTCTTTAAGATGTTTCCAGCACCGATCATCATTCGTGTTGCTTGGACGCGGTAAAAGGCACGACTCTTCTTCTGGTGAACAAGGGCAGAGTAGTTAGCCATCTCGATCAACTGGTCCAGGTCTTTATCTGGATGCTTTTCCTTCAGCTCTTTTAATATACGGACCACCTGTCCAGTAGAAGAAATAAATACTGTCAATTGAAAAACTTGAACAGTAGATGTCTAGGAGCTTCCCAATGTACCTTCAGATACTAGTTCTTACATTACTCAGCATTCTAGTCGGTGTATAATCTTTCATTTTATATAATCTCTTTGGATGTTATAATCCAGAGTGTTCTGTTATTTAAAAATTGAGAGCAAAATTATAATATTTACAATCCTTTGACCTTTATATTTATTTTAAAGCTTTTTTTATTTATTTTTTTGATTCCAGGGCATCAAACTAATTCCTATATCAGATAAATATAAAATGTTTGATTGCAAAACATTCCTTTCAAGTCATTTACTAATAGGAGAAAACATCTTTCCAATTGGTCTGGCAGTGCTGGCAGATGGTACACAAATATACACTCACCGGCCACTTTATTAGGTACACCTGTCCAACTGCTTGTTAAAACACATTTCTAATCAGCCAGTGACATGGCAGCATCTCCAAGCACAAAGAAAGGTAACAGTCACTCAAATAACCACATGTTACAATTGAGGCATGCAGAAGAGCATCTCTGAACGTATAACACATTGAACCTTAAGGCGGAATGGCTACAGTGGCAGAAGACCACAGCAGGTACCTCTCCTTTCAGTTAAACAAAAGGAAACTGAGGCTTTGTTTGCACTGGCCAATTAGAAAATGGAAATTTGGAAATAAATGTTTACTGGTCTGATGATTGTCAATTTCAGCTGCACCTTCAGATGGTAGGTTCAGAATTTTGTGTTAGCAATATGAAAGCATCAAAGCAATGTTTTAGACCGGTGGGGTTGGTGTAATGGTGATAATTCCTTGGCATAATTTGAGCCCCTTAGTACCAAATAAGCATCATTGTCAATGCCACACAGCCTAAATCAGTATTTTCGCTGACCATGTTCATACCTTTTGACTACACTGCACTCATCTTCTGATGCCTACTTTCAGACTGATAGCATAAAGTCTGAATAATTTCCGACTGTTTTTTGTACATGACAATGAGTTTATCAGACTCAAATGGCCTCAACAGTGACCATAGCTGAATCCAATAGAGCACCTTTGTGATTTGGGGGAATGGGAGATTTTGTATCATAAAGCCGACAAAATGTGGAGCATCTGCCTGACGCTTTCACGTCAATAGGAACCTAACTTCCTGAGCAATGTTTCCAGGAGCTTTTTCAATCCTTCTAACAAAGGATAGAAGCAGTCCTGAAGGCAAAAGGGGGTCAAAACCCCTTACTAGCAAGGTCTATCTCATACAGTACTAGCCATTTAAAATTTCCCTACTTTCCTTGAATGGGCCGTTGGCTAGTCCTTGGCTGATCCCCTACAATTCCTTTTTAAACATCAATCTTTGTACAAAAATAGTTTTTCTGTCATGATTTGTGGACGTTAAGATCTAAAGAGAAATGCTTTCTCCTGGTCAGACCCTGTAATTTGGTGAAAGGGTGGAGTTAGAGTAGAAAAATATGCAAACCCAGGAGAAGGACAGGGTCGCTTCAGTTGCTCTAAGTTGGAGGGGATTTTGCTGGGAGTTACAGGGAAGTGGGCTTCCATTTGAATGGCATGTGACTGGGATGGGTCATTTTGAATGGCTGCTACTGTAAAGTGGCTGGTGACTATAATACATCTGCTAAGGATGCTCAGTGCTAAAAATCTTTAGAGGCTCAGAAAGGGCAAGTAAACACAATCAGGGCAAACACTTTCTGCATAATGTTGCATTTGAATACAGATATATCTGTTTCTTTATTTTTGTTGGGATCTGGAGGTCTGTCCACTTTCTCCACCAGAGGGCGTACTAGATCTCCTGGAGCCGGAGCTGATTGTTCCACCTGTCGCTTGTTTGCTCATCAGGAGACCAGTATATAAGGAGGCAGAGGACGTCTCTCCAGTGCCAGAGTGTTTGCCAGTTATGGTTAGCAAGCCTGAGCCAACCTGCCTGTCTGAATCTCTGACTCCCTTGAAACCTGAACCTGATCCGTTTTCTCCTCTCTGCTTCCAAGGTTGAACCTGCCTGAAAACCTGAAAACCCTGAAGAGTTTCTCTGTTGGAAATCTGCCTGCCCGCTCTCTGAAGAATCTAGAAGGGAAACTCAAACCTGAAATCTACAAACACTCAAAGCAAGCTCTGCCTCCGCCAAGCCCTCAGCCTGCCGACAGCCTCTGGACCCTCAAGGTCGCCCCCCTCAGCCGCCTAGCTCTGACCCAAGAACAGATACAGTCCTGCTCACTCACTTCCTGCCAATTATTCTGGACATCTGCTAACATCTCTGTCCCCCTCTGCAGTGAACCGGTCGTGACCAGTCCCGGCTCTGATTAACCCCCTGGATCAGTTTATTCTCTGTACAGAAACATCTTAATAAACCGTTGAACTTTTCTCCTGTTTCCGTGTGTTCTGCATGTGGGTTAGGAACCTTAAACCAAACATGACAATTTTATTCCTAGTATACGAGTAGCCCCCTTTAAAGAATTCCATCATAATTTCACAAACACATTCTTATTTAACTCATGTAATTTTTGTGTGATGTTGTTATTTGTTTTATGTTTCATAACACAAAACAGTAAAAAAAAAGTTTTATCTATCAGGATAAAAAATTCATAAAGGAAGTAACAAATATGTTTTAGGAAATTCTGCTACCTCTGCTTTGAATGTCAAACTCTAGAAATATTTAGAGATTGGGCCTCATGCAAGAAGTATTCATATGAACAAAATCTTAAATCGTTTGTAAGAGTGATTAAGGAGAAAATGTTGCATTCCTATTAGATCCTCTCTACAAAGAAATCTTCCAAGAGCTTGTAGGAGTCTTGCGCAATCAGTCAGCTGTTACCTGAACCAAATTTTCACTAAAGCACTACTTTTGTTATTACTTCAAGCGATTTTCAATTTTATAAGGCTGCATCATTCTATATTCTACAGCTCTGTAATTCTAAATGAGCTTTTATTGGCTGATGATAGAACTATGGGTCACTCCACCTGCAGCTGGCATGTCGGGATCCAGCAGATTCTGGTTTCATTGGTTGTTATTCCGTCGAAAGAAAGAACAGTCAGTGACTCTATGTGAGATGAAGCTACTATTGAAATAAGATGTGGAACACAACATAGATAAAGTTCATCTCACTCTATGGCAGCTCTTGTTCTTGTTATTACATAAAATGTTTGGGTTTGGGTCCGTCTGATTTTGTCAACATTTTTATGTTGATGCATTGTATAACCAGGTCAAGAATATGCTTATGCACATGTGGAACGTATCTGGTTTATGAGGTTAAGAATGTTTGCTGAATCTGATGTGGTGTGTTCCTAAGAGCCCAGGGTAGGAGAAAAGTAAGAGAAATGCATGACAATAATCTGAAAATGTTGTTGCATGAGGCCCATTCTTTCTTTTCTCTTGTTTCGTAGCTCTGGCTGCAAAAAGTAGAACAAATCAGCATCCAAAGCTCAAACCCTCATTTTCCATGATAAACATGTCTTACCTCGTCTTTGCTTTGATCTAAGTCACTGCCTGTTTGCACAGACACAGTTACACTAGCAGAGTTTGCGGGACCCAGATTGCCATCTGACAATTTTCCATCCATGATGACATCATTGCCTTTAGCGGAAATGTCCCCTTCCATTTCGACTATGATTCCATGCCTCTTATCAGCTCGGTATCTCCTATGCATGTATTTATAAAAAAGCAGGCGACGGTCAGCGATCCAAGCCAAGAGGACACAGATCGGGAAATACAGCAGTGTTACTGCGGCTTCCCAAACCTGGTGAAAGACAAAATTTACATTTTTATCATTTTTATATTTTTTTTGTAAGATATTGTGTAAATCTGATAGTAGTCATTTTTCACATCAAGAAAGGTGTTAGGTCTTTAACACCAGTGTTGTAATGTTCAGCTTTTTCAGTAAATTCAAATCATAGAGATTGCCAAGTACGTAGGTAATTTCTTCAACACCATTTCATCATCTTGTCACCCTGGAAATCTAGTCAAGGCTAATTTGAGATTATAGTTCTTGTCGACCATAAGGAATATAGCTCATTTTGATCTCCTTTCCTGGACGGGACCGCCTGTGGAGCTGCTTGACAGTTGCCTTTTGTATCTTTTCTTCTTTTTCTATATCTGCTTCTGTCTCTTTGATCCCCAGTTGGCCTCAGCAGATGGCTGCTCACACTGAGCCTGGTTCTGCTGGAGGTTTCTTCCTCTTCAAAGGGAGCTTTCCTCTCCCCTGTCACTACAAGCATGCTCCATACAGATTCATGTCAAAAATACCGAACTATCCCTTTAAGCTTTGATGAATCAGTAACAAACGACTCGAAGTCTAATTTTGCATTCATTTGTTTCTATTCACTACCTTCTCTACCTGATTACAATTCACAACCTTTGTTGTACGTATTTAAAGCAATAAGTTTGTTATGTCAGCCTCGTCCTTTCTATATTTGGTTGCTAGTGATGTTTCTGTATGCAGTAGGAGGTGCTGTATCATCATACCCTTCCCTGGCCAGAAAAGATTGAAATACATCAAGGAGGGATTCAACATTATGACATGTAACATGAATGAGGATACAAATAAAAAAAGGCATTTTCGACACGATTCCCAAATGTTCTTGATGCACTAGACTGCACAGACATTATCCTTATTTCCATCCAAATAGGATATATATATATATATATATATATATATATATATATATATATATATATATATATATATATATATATATATATATATATATATATATATATATATATATATATATATATATATATATATATATATATATATATATATATATACATATGTGTTTGTTTAATGTATATTCAATTTAATGTTCTTTTTCTCTCAGGTTCTCTTTGGTCCAATCACAGGTCTGTGTGAGCATTAACATGGTGTGCAGCAAAATAAAGGTGATTAATCGAGTTTATCATATCTGCTCATTGACGAATAATGGAACCGGGAAACAATCCCAAGTCGCACCTAAAGTCCATAATTTAAACAAATACACCAAAGAAGGTCTAAATGCCACCACAAAAATTAATATTAGTCTATCAATGTTAACATCTGTCATGTTGAAAATGAAAAATATACTACTTAACTAGTTTGACAAATCATAAATTTGTCATCAGCCTCATGCTCTCTTGAACCTTTTGAGCCTGGCTTAGCCTTTGTGAAACATAATGCCAGAATGCACTGATTTTGCTAAGTAAAGCCTGGCTTTATCGTTTATCCTGAATTTCTTACCTCTACTTTTGACCATAGGATTCTGAAGTGAATTACATGTCTATAATGTGGTGTGGTATGTGAAACTCAATTCAATTCAGTTTTTTTATATAGCTCCAATTCACATCAAGTCATCTCAGGTAACTTTCCAGAGACAATTAAACCAGATCATCCAGTCCGATTGGTTCAAATTTTTTCTCTAAAGAAAGCCCGTTGATTGCATCGCCTCATTGACTCTTCAGCAATCCCTCACACCAAGCATGCATGTAGCAACAGTGGAGAGGAAAACTCCCTTTCAAACTGGAAGAAACATCAAGCAGAACCAGGCTCAGTGTGAGCAGCCATCTGCTGAGGCCGACTGGGGTTCAAGGAGACAGAAGCAGAGAGAAAAAAAAAAAGCTGAGATACAAACGGAAACTGACAACCAGCTCCACAGCTAAGGCTTTCATGTTACATCATTTTAAGACATGTCAGACAGTAAATCTTTAGCAGCCCTGGACTGCTGATCAAATGATCTATGAATGTAATAACATAATTTTCTCTTTCATCAAACTAAAAGAGCATTTGAATCAGTGTGATGGTTATGCTAGAGACTTACCTCAACAATCCCTGGGGAGATGACAGCCAAGATGAGGTACAGCCAAATGTAGGCAAAGATACTCCAGAAAGCTGTGATAAAAAACACTCGCAGGTGTTTGATCTTGCGAGACTGACCATCAGGAATTACTGACACACACAGACCAATTATCACAAGCATATTAAAGGCCGCACTGCCCACTATGGTGCCTGGGCCAAGCTCCCCAGCATTGAAGTTGTGTCCACACACCTGTATAAGGGAAGCAGGAATAGACTTTAACCATCAGAGTAGGGTAAATATGACTCATATTTAGTTCACCACTAAGGGTCACTTTTATTTGCATTTTTTAATCTATTAAGGCTTAATGGGCACTTACACAACAAAAGACATTAGTATTTTCTTGTGTTTATGAAATAAAGTACCTCGATGACAGAGAGCAGGATCTCTGGTGCAGAAGAACCCAATGCCATAAGTGTCAGGTTGGACACAGTTTCATTCCAGATCCGTACGGTTTTTACAGTTGTTTCTCCATTAGGTTGGGTGATAGTCACCTCCTTCTCCTAATTTGGTCGTAGCGTTTCATTTAAATGAAATAAGAAATCTGGTCATTATTATGTTCATCTACAAGATCATAGAGCAAAATCAAGCCAATTTAGTATTAAAGTGTAATACTTCTTTGCCTTTGGCCTAAACCTCTGACCAACTATTCTTAAGAAAATCTTAACTTTACCCATTTCCTTCTCAGATGCCTACCTACAATATTAAGATGTCTTGTTTTCTGAAACAAAGATGGGGAATTCAACATTTGTGTAATTCTCAGATTTTTTTATGTTTTCCCCTGTTCTTAAGTTTTTCCTTCATCTAACAATTGAGAAATTCTGGGCGGAACCAATACTTGATCCATTCCACTAGAACAACATTATTATAACCATATAATAGAGCAGGGGAGGGAACATAAGCATAGCCTTTATACATGAGTGTATCCAAAACCTTCATCTTTGTCCCTAGCATAGATCCATCATTGGGATTCATGACGTTGTAGACTTTGGAACAGCTACTCAGCATTGTGTGAGTAGCAAAAGTTCCCAGTTCCAAGGTATCTTCTGTTGGCATGTTGGAAATATTGGTTCTACATCAAGCTTGGTTAACCATGCACTTATTTTGTTGTGTCCCCTCCCTCGTTCAGTGGACAATGTAAGACTGGAGAGGAATATGGTGAATGTGGCTCCAAACCTCTCAACACCCACCTCTATTCATAGACCTGTCAATAGTCTGGCCTCTATGAAGGGCTCCTCTTTTTTTTTTAGATCCAGACTTTGCATCCTATTTTAGCTCCTGATTTTTTTTATGAGATGTCTTTCACAGAACAAACTTTCTTCCTATTCTTTTTGGTAAAACGATGCTTAATGACAGAAAGGACATGCTTTGTCTCACCCTTCCCTGGAGGTGTTTTTGTGGTGTTTGCTGGCTGATCAAGTACTTCCTTGACTGTTGCTCCCACTGAGTAAAACCCTCTATATGGCACTAGCACAAACTGCACTGAGATACCTTATCTTACATTATTTGGTGGCAAACCGGTTAAGGAACCCGATGACTAACCTTTGAGCTGCAGTTGACTAAAAGGGTTTTCTGAGTTGACTGTTTCCAGCCCAAACATAAAGCCTGAGCACCTCAATAAAAACAATCCCAAATCAGAACCTCAATATAAAAAAAAAGTACAAAACATAAATCTATCACACCAATGACAATGAAAACATAAGCACACTACACAAAGCTGACACTAACTTCCAAATTCGGGGAAATGGCCAAAAGGGCCATTTAACCTCTCATCTCAACTGCCCTATGTGCCTTTATTCTAATGTAGTGATAAAAACCACAATAGTTAGATACTATTAAACCTGGATAATATTAAGGCCCTGAAACTAAACAATAGCCCAACAGATTTGCTTTCACAAGTAGAAAAGATAGAAATTGAACTTTATTGATCTCACAATGGAGAAATTAACTCTGCATTTAACCCATCCCCTTTGGGGACCAGTGGGCTGCCACAGTGCAGCGCTCGGTGAGCGGTGTGGGATTAAGGATAATGCTGAGAGAGTGCCAGCTGTGGAGTATGCTTGTGTAGAACAAAACCCCAAAAACACCCCCGCCCCCAAAAAAATTAAAAATATGCAAGCTTTAAAACTGCTATAAAGATGTACTAATAGCATCCTTAAGGCTACATTTTCAATATAATTTTTATTGTAATTTCAAGTTTCAACAAACAAGGATCAAAACGTGAAAAGTTAAATGTATATTAAATTTAAACTTTGCATTCAAAATCATTCTCTCAAAATAATAAGAGCTTATTTAAAATAAAAGCTATATCAATGTACATATGAGAAGAAAATAGAAGGTTTTGGATTTAAAATATATAATCCAATTAGGCCTCACTACAACTTTTTAAAGGACAGATTAATTTTCTAGCTGACCCTGAGAATTTTTCAACCATGTAAACATGTGATGACAATAAAACATGTATGTTTGGTGCTGCTCTGCTTCAGGCTGATCAAGATTTATAGATGTCTTTTAAAGGCTGTACTTCAATCTGACTATAAAAATTGTACTGAAATGACACATATTTTAATAAAGGCTGGTGCAGGTGACTCAGTGTTTTTCTTCAAATGTCCAAGATCCCATACAAATAACTACAGACCCTTTTTATTTTATAGTGATCATTATATAGAAAGAAAGAAGGGACGGGGCTGCTGCTGGTGGGTCACCTGTTTCCTACTGTAATAAACAGGTGTGGGCTACTCTGTGGGCTCGGACTTATTCTATTTATTGGAATTTTTTTTCTAGAAAATAAAAAAACCACAATAAGGCCACTGTGTGGCAAATAAAATCAACTATGTGTTTAAAAAGATAGCTTGACCACTATTAAATTACGATTTATGAACCACTTTAGTTTAAATACTATATTTTCCCTTGATGTGGAAAATGGCTCTTGCTTTGGTTCACTGAGTCACATTATTTAAACTGCCATCTGCTTCTAGTTAAAATTAATGTAGTCTAAAATAAAATAACTTCTTAGATTATCTGAAACATATTTTTGTGTTAAAAAAAGTAAATCTGTAGGGGAGCAATGATACAATGTCTATTTATCTGAAACAGACGTGACACAGTTTCAGTATATGCATGACTCTAACAGGTTCTCAAAATAAAAAGCAATGATACCTGAGATGTAATGACTTCTATAGATGCCATGAAGCGGTCAGCAATGATGGACACTCCAAGGAATATGTACATGAGAGAGAGGAAGTAAACAATTGCTCTTCCTGCTTGTTCCCCAACTGGAGGGTTGAGAGGCAGCCACACTGGAAGCAGAATACCAGGCTTACACACTACAACACCTGCACATTTCTTTTTTTCAGACACTGTGTTGTTTGTAGATGGCAGAGTTTGGTCAGGAGAAGATCTTTGATCCAGGACCTGAGGACTGATGGATATGCAGTGGTGGCACAGGAGGAGGACGAAAAGGAAGAAAGGAGGGTTACGATGACCAGAGGAGTGTCCCATGCTTTCTGAGTCAGATCGCAGCTCAGGAGCTGAAGTTCAGAGGAGGAATCGCTGGATTGGTCCTTTAGAAACAAAGAAAACCAGCTTTTAGAGAAAATAATTAATGAGCTTAAAATATTTAGAGGATATTATTAGACCAAATAAACTTTACTGACCCAGACACTCTAAACAGTGATGATAAAATGTTTTGAATCTTATATTTGTTATAAACAAGCTAATAGAGACACACTTCTATCTATTCTATTTAAAGTTTAGGTAACCTATTTGTTCATTATAAATGGATCAGCTGTTCTGATACCTATTGTTGACTATTGTATTCTGATAAAAATCAAAATTACGAAATTAAAACACTACCCTTAATAATGAGGCAGGGATAGAGGTAGCACAAGTACAGCTTCTAGATTGTGTGAGCACAGATTTTATACTATTTTGCCCTTTTTGTTGTTTTCTTCACAAAAAAAAAAATACATCTTCAAAATTGCATGCATGGGTTGTAAATAAAATATTGCAAGTAATCAATTTTAATTCCAGCTTGCAAGGCAACAATGCATGAAAGGCCAAAGGGGTCAATACCTCTGCAAAGGCACTCTAACTCTTTTAGGTGTCAGACTCCTCTCCTGTGGAACCAATTTTAGTCTGAGAGGCATACACACAGATGTTGCAATACAAACACTGCTGGACCATATTACTACAGTGTGAGACAGCTAAATAACTGTGATGCACATTCCTTTATGCTGCTGGCCAAATTACTAGTCCATGTACCTTTAAGACAGACACAGTAAGATTTAACGGCTGTGGTGTGTGTGCCTTGGAAAGAAAGGCACATCTGCATTATTCTTTGCCTAGAATGACGGTGATGCAACAGACCCAACCCTAAGATGTAACGACTGAAAGACAAACCCGCTTCTGGAGGACTGTGATACAAGCAAACCAAACCCTCCAATGTCAAGCCTCTTTAACGCATCTGTGATCGCTGGCAAACCAGACCACTATTTCCTGAAATTCCAAAAGCCTGAATGCAGTGTCGATTCCTGTCTGCTGCTGGTTCTTTTGGGTGTTGAAAATTCGAGGCTGCAAAGTCTGAATGCAACTTTTAACTCAATAGTTTATTATAGTGTATAATTCCGATAATTACGCTACAAATTCCTCTCAAAGGTATTTGACGTTGGTTGGTTTAGTTGAGATGAAAATATTATGTTTACACGAAGCTGTTGTTACTTAAAACATGCCTGTAGTAAAAGCACAAAACAAAGCAGCTATCTTTTCAACCGCATCTGGACCGTGGTCATCGCTCACTGACACCAAAACCCTGTGCAGGAGAGAGGCCCAGACTCTTCATCATCCGCATACACCACAGTAATGTGAAGGACACCATCCTCTGCATCTCTGGTCGGAAGAAGAAGCTTTTGTACAAGGAGAAGTTATTACACATCTTTCCCAACTTCACACAAGAAGTCAAGAAGAAGTTTGCAGCTTCACCGAGGCGAGGTAGCAGAGGATGTAAAATTTGTGCTTCGCTTTCTGGATTTGATTCCCAGTGCAATAGCTTTGTATATATATATATATATATATATATACATATTTATTTTTTTTTTACTTGGCAGTGAAATAACATTTCCATTCCATAAAGTTCAGCAGAGATCAAATAAACTGTGGGAAATAAAATAAATCATGGTGCAAAAACGCATTGATATGGAAGTTCACAGCATTAAATATATGTGGTGCAAATATGCCTCTTCCCAGAGGGCAACAGGGTGAACAGTCCATGGCGGGGGTGTGAGGGGTCATTGATGATGATGCAGGCTTGGGACACGCAGTGCTGGGATAAAATGTCTTTCATGGAGGGAAGAGGAGCCCTGATGATCCTAATAGAGATTACAACAACCAGGACTACAGAGAGGAGGTGGTGCACCTGGTGGACTGGTGCAGAGATAACAGCCTGATCCTGAACATGAAGAAGATGAAAGAGATCCTCTTCGACTTCAGGAAGAACTGACCTAACCACGCTCCACAATTCATCAACAGCTCAGCTGTAGAGGTTGTCAGCAGCACCAAATTCCTGGGGGTGCACCATCACAGACAACCTCACCTGGACTATGAACACCTCCTCACTGTACTTCCTGCGGAGGATGAGAAGAGCCCACCTGCCCCTGCCCATTCTAACGACCTTCTACAGAAGCACCATAGAGAGCATTCTGACCAGCTGTCTCGCTGTGTGGTGTGGAGGCTGCAGCGCCTCAGACTGGAGGAACACGAGAATAGTGGTGAGAACAGCAGAGAGGATTATCGGGGCTCTTTTTCCCTCCATTAAAGACAGCGCTGCATGTCCCGAGCCTGTAAAATCATCAATGACCCCTCACAACCACACCATGGACTGTTCTCCCTGCTGCCCTCTGGGAAGAGGCTTCGCAACATCTGCTGCAAAACCAGCTGTTATGATCTTTGCGCTAATGGCTGGCTTTACTGCTCATTGCATTCACCTGTCTAACTCTGCCCGGATTCTCATTACTGCTCATCTGAACCACCTGCTTCTGCGTCTATTTAAGGGACTTGCATCCAGCTATCAGTAGGGCTGGGTACCGAACATTGGTTCTATTATGGTACCGACCGAAATGCTTCATGGGATGACATGGGGGTTGGCTCGGAGCTTGTCTGCCTTCTTTCGTGTTCCCTGGACGGGGCCGCATTTTACAGTTGCTTTTTGTATCTCTGCTTCTGTCTCCTTGAACCCCAGTTGGCCTCAGCAGATGGCCGCTCACAATGAGCCTGGTTCTGCTGGAGGTTTCTTCCTGTTAAAAGGGAGTTTTTCCTCTCCACTGTTGCTACAAGCATGCTTAGTAGGAGGGATTGCATTTGAGTCAAAGACAGAAAACTTTGAATCAATTTGACTGTTGGTGAACTGTAAAGTGCCTTGAGATGACGTGTTGTGAATTGGCGCTATATAAATAAACTGAATTGAATTAAATTATCTTCTGCAATATCAAGGATCCATTAGGCAAGACAATGAATAAAATAAAGAGGTTAGCAGATTCAAGTGATGTAAACAAAAAGCCATGCTAGAAAGCTCTCAGAATTTTGCTGTAGCGCTACAGTCTTTATTCCATTTGAACATGTGTATGGAAATAGATACTTAGGTTTTGCATCTTTGATGCAGCCTGAGCTCAGCTAGCTCATTATAGAGTTGTGATTCAGAACTGCCCAGAGGCCCTGCTGCATCGCATTTCACTTTCCAAAGTCTGCTATGGTTACCTCTGCCTCAGGCAGAGGGCCATTTTACATCAGCAGTAGCCAAGGTGAGTAGCTCTTTCCAAATAATTCATAAAGTCATATTGGAAAAAAAACAACTATACAGCTTATAACCTAGGATAAGTGTTAAATAGTAACATTAATATAAAGTCCTTATAAAATCTTATCCTTTGAAACTAAACTTTATTTTTCACAGCTTGGCATAAATCCAGATATATACATTTAACATATTTATAAGGATTAAAGAGATAAACAAAAATGTTTATCTATTAAACAAAGGCTTAAACATTTTACAATAGTCTTTAATGTCTAACTAAGATTACAAACTCGGGAGTTTAACCAATTAGAGCCAGATTGGGTTCATAGAAAGATTTATTTTGATAGATGATGCCACGGTGTTCCTTCCAGATGGTCACAGCAATCAGTAGAGCTTTGAAAGAGAAGAGCAGCCTGATAAGATCCGGTACTGGAACAGTTTGATGCATTATTGATAGCTGCATTCATCTAAATACAGAAGGATATTTTTTTCCCCCTTTTTGTCACCTACAAGTACGTACCTCAGTAAAATATTTTTGATGAACTGCAAGGTGGATTTAACAGTTGGATAATATAGCAATAATTATCTGTTTATTTTTTTGAGAATTACTTAGATTTTTTTTTTTTTTGCCTAATCTATACAGATCACTGCTGTGTTTGTGACAAAAATAAATATAAATCAACTCTGTGGCTTTCCTGGAAATATTTTTTTTTCATTATTCAAGAAGTTGGACACAAACACTTTTAAATATTTATATATGTGTGTGTAAACAATGGTGAATATAACTTTAAATAAGTGAATAAAAAATAAAAATGGAATAAAAAAAAGACTTACTCTCTGCTTATAGGTATTTCATGTCTGGGAGGCAGGGGTCACTGGCTGTTGACAGCTCTTTGGTCCACTTTTCCTCTTCATGCCCAGCAAACACAGAGCTCATCTCCCCTTACTGCCTCTGTCTGTCAGCACAACACATAAGTGATTGCCTAGGTTATCTTACACTGATTGGACTGGAGTGCCAGCAGGAAAGAGTTAGCACCTTTACCAGTTTAATATTTCCTTACTGTTCACAGACAGAGGGGTACAGCAGATTGGGGAAGGTTCAGTCACATATTGAAATAACTCAGCAGTAGAGGTGAGATAAATCATTTAAGTAATCGGAAACAGCAGCTCAAAACAGGCTGAGTCAAAGGAAAAAATGTTTGGTAAATGCAAAAACGTCTGGAGACTGGATAGAAATTAGTTACTGTTATGCAATGTAGATTAGGCCGTTGCTCCAAGCACCTCTACTTGTAACATGAATGGATCAGCCATTAGAGTCAAGCCTCTACAGTACCAGGTAGTAAAATATTGAAATTTTTATGGTAAAGAAGGAGAAACTCTATTCCTCTCACAACTTTAATTAAACTGTATGTTGTTTAATTTATTTTACCACCTCTATGGAAAAGTAATCTTATAACATGATATGTATCAATTTCAAAACAACAGTCAAAGGCTATTATATTAATAATATGAATTGACCTTTAGTGATCTCACATTGGAAAAAATGTACCTCTGCATTTAACCCATCCCATTGGGGAGGAGTGGCTGCCATCGTGGGGCGACCGGGAAGCAGTTTGGGGGTTAAGGGTCTTGCTCAGAGACCCAGAGTGGCAGTTTGTGGGAGTGGGGCTTGAACTCAGAATCTCAGGATTCCAAGCTCTATGCTCTAACCCAGGCATTCCCAAACTCGGTCCTCAAGGCCCCCTGTCCTGCAGGTTTTAGAGGTTTCTCTGCTTCAGCACAGCTGATTATAATGATTGCAGTAGACCAAAATCCTGTTAATCAGCTTTCAATTAAAATCAGCTGTGGTGGAGCAAGGAAACCTCTAAAACCTGCAGGACAGGGGGCCTTGAGAACCGAGTTTGGGAATGCCTGCTCTAACCGCTAGGCCGTCACTCCCCATATGTCAGCAAAGTGGTTTTGAAGTCAATGCACAAACAGCTAAAACTGTAATAACCTTAAAACCATCCGTTTTATATTATATATGATCCTGAGCTGCTAGTTTATACTGACCACACTCTTCAGTGTGGATGGTGTTAGTGGTAAACGTAGCAGATTCTTCATCATGGAGCTAGCCTTCCTGCATCTATTGGACCATGCCAGAGGCATAGGTACAGGCCATTTACCACTCTGCAGGTGTTTTGATAACTTTTGCAGTATTGGTTCTGACTTTTAGTCTGGTAGGAAGGACTTTGTTATGTAACTGCCTTGGGGACATTTTGTCTAAATGTTGGAAGGATGGCACCTGGGCCCTGTTTCAGAAAGCACATACATCAGAACTCAGAGTAATTTCCTGGATGATCCCTGAATGCCCAAGAATAGCTGATATCCCAATTCATGTCTATACTGAAAGATACTCTTTTCAAATGCTGTTTTCTATTACTTGTTGCTGCTATTTTCAAATATCCTTTCTCGTAAAAAAATTCCATAGCTGTATATTGGTTATTTATTCTCTTGGTGCACAGTTTTATAGTGTCAAAACACTTTACAGTATTTTATTGTTTATCTTTTAACTCTTCACTATTATGCATTGTCAGTGCTTCGACAGCGAAATAATATTGAAAGGCAGGATGGTAATCTGGATGACCTGACTGCAGACAAATTTTTAAGGCGGACTTTCTCATTTAAAAACATATTAAAACTGCTTTTTTCAAACAACAAATATAGCTGCCATTGTTCCAGGTAAAGAAAGAATCGGGTAGCTCCGCCTAACACCCATCAGACCCACTTTTCAACTGCGCAGCTGGAGCAGCGTCAGAATAAAAATTGTACAAGCATCAAAAAATGAAGCAGCACATGCATTTTTACTGCTCCTGCTGCTTGGGGTGTGAATATGCAGCAGTGATCAAATGTAAATAGTGTGGGAGAAAAATATGGTGCAAAAAACTCATTGATGTGGAAGTTTAGAGCATTAAATATATATGGTGCAACTATGCAGTGTTTTGGTTTGGTGTTAGTGTCATGCAGAGTCTGTGAAATGATTTAAAGTTTTTTCAACAGTTTCGCTGTCTGATGGCAGTGGGGAAGAAGCTGTTTCGGAATCTGCTGCATATGCATCAGATGCTGCGATGCCTCTTTTCAGAGGGCAGCAGGGAGAACAGTCCATGGTGGGGGTGTGAGGGGTAATTGAGGATGTTATGGGCTCGGGGTACGCAGCACTGGGATGAAATGTCTTTTATGGAGGGAGGAGGAGTCCTGATGATCTTTTTTGCTGTTTTTAAAATTCTTCACCTTCTTCTGCACCACACAGTGAGACAGCTGGTCAGAACGCTCTTTATGATGCTTCTGTAGAAGGTCGTAAGGATGGGTGGGGGCAGGTGGTCTCTCATCCTTCGCAGGAAGTTCATGTGCTTTTGTGCCTTTTTGAAATATAAATTGGAATTGCCTCAGTCATGCATATCAACCCCCTTCATTGCAGAACTGAACAAACCATCAAACCATGGCTCATCGAGCTAATAACTATGGATTAAATTTAGAAGTGCTGCAGGACTCAAACCCCCCTGTAAGCCCTGAAAAGCTAGCCCGCTATTTTCTTTTTATCTGCAAACCATAGCAAGTGTTAGCCCATGCATGCCTCCTCCCACTGCAACAAGCTGAGAGCCAGGCACACCGTCAGAACTGGTTCAACCTGACCACTGGAGAGTGGCACCTGCCTCTGCCATACTACGGGTGTTTGACATGATATTAGATTGTGAAGGATAGAATATGTAGGGGAACTCTGGAGAACAGCATATAGATTGTTTTGGTCTAATTCTATTAATCGCAGTTCTATGCCGATCCACCAACCCAACTCACATATTACATAGTCAACCTGACCGACCAATCATAACAATAAAACGAATAGTAACACACTTTTTTTTTACCTTTCTCCTTGTCTGTGTGTAGCGGTAGCCGCATGAAGAGCAATGGATAAAAGACAAACGGAGGAGATGAGTAAAAAACTTGACTTCCATTATATGAACTGGTCTGGTTTCTCACCAAATGACAAGGCACATACAAAACTCATTTGCAAAGTTTGCTTTGACATGGCTCACAAGTCTGATGACAGCACGACAAAGTTGTTTAATCACTTGAAAAGAAAGCACCCAAAATATGCTGGACCCTAAAAGACAATGTTAACCCAGGTATTTGAAGAGACAACCATGAGAGGGAAAGAGCTAACAGAACCAGTTACTTTTTGTCTTGCAAAATATACAATTCCACTCAAGAATTGCTGCTACATTACCCAAATTTTAAAAGGCAATCAACATAATGTTCACCGCTCAAGAGTAATTTGTTTATCTTAAGTGTTTAAGATGACATGACAGAGATAACATCCTGAAAATTACTGTGGCTTTTTCACTTTGGAGGAAAACAAATTCCTAAAATACCCCAGTTACACGAGCAGCCTGTGATCTAGTTACAGCCAAATCAAGGCTGTTAGAATGACTCAGTGTTCAGTTTTCTTTCTGTTTGCAGGTGAAGCAAAGAAAGGAAAGGGATCCATCCCTTTAATAAATTACAGGGCTTTGGCTTGCTGCTGTTGAAGCAGATGAATCACAGGGTAAGATAATCTATCTGGCCACATAGGCAGACACACAAACAGGGTGACAGAGCCAAATCAGTAATAGGACATTGAATCTTGCTATTAGACCATTTGTTATAACAACAGCATTTTAATGCATTCTAAATGTACAACTGGACATTGCCAAGGTCCTCCTCAAAAACACTTACTGGGTCAGCCCACTTTTATTACCGAGAACATTACCACCAGCCTGCACCTAACATTTCCAAATATTGCACGCATTATACACACATAAACTTTTCCATTACTAAAGACTAAAGAGGATAAGAATATTGCTATCACTAATTTTGGTATAAGTAAGCCACAAAAGACTTAAGAATGAGGTTCAACTTAATCTCAATAATTAATTGTTTAGTTGAAAGAAGTCATCCATCGAGCTGAGCGCCGATCACAGATATTAGTGTCTGACAGTCTCCGATCATGGCATCGAATCCATAAATTCTTCAACTGCCCTCTCATGTACTTTGACATTATATAATTGGTATCCAAATAATGGATGAGAAAGTATCATGAATTGATCATTGTGTTAGTTAAGGAAGCAGTATTTTAAAGCACTTTCATGGTCTGGCAGGGGGATCCAAACACCAGGCACAGGATACAGGGAGGTGAACAGACGGTCCAGTACAGAGGGTACGTCTTCTCATGGAGTCTTGGTGCAGGGATGCTGGTGTTTATTTAAGATGTGCTGATGAGGTATTGAAAGACAGTGATAAGGTGCAGCGCTGGGGTGCATGGAGGCCTCAGTCCTCAGCAAGTCGTTCACAGGTTTGAATCCCAGCCTGTTGACCTGTGCTGCATGACTTCCTCTCAATCCCATTTCTTGTCTGGTACTATCAAATAGTCTACTGATGCCAAAAAGAGCTTAAGTAAGTGGCCTTTAATTGAAGTTATTTTATTTTTTAGAAGAAACAGCTCTTATTAAAATAGTTTTTTTTGTTAAACTTAAATTAGTGTGACAAGTTTTTTTACTAAGATAAAGGAGATTGTTTGATCATTTTAACTTAACTGTGAACAATTAAACCTGTTTTTGGGGCAGGTTTTTTACTTGAACCGGTGTTGGCAAGGTTACATTTTAATCTTTTCAGAATAAAGTTCAGGTTGTCTGTGCAAAGCAGACTACTGTCTGTTAAAGTGTTATTGAGTAGTTTTCATCTTGTGAAAGTTTCCACCTTGTGAATCTCGAGCAGGTTAAAATGTTGCAGCATGACCTCAATATGCTACTCAAGGCACACAGGGCCGATTGAAACTATGTGCCTTTTGATTTTTATTAGAATGACTAAAAAGAATGTTAATAGTAGAATTCACAGATTCACAGCTTCTTTGAACCTGTACATTTTCAACAGAAATAAGTAAGATTATGATTTGTAACACACCCCTACTATATTTGAACAATGCTACTCTCTGCCCTTCTTTTTTATTCTATTTTGTGTAAAAGAATAGATTCCATGTTGGGGCAGAATGTCATGTGTTTCCTATGGCTCAAATCTAATTATAATCCGGAAATCATAACATGGTCATGCACCTCAGAGTCCAATAAAAGTAGCTAAGCTTTTTGGCTTAAATTTAGCTTTTTAGTAGCTTTTTCTGTAAGTGAACATACACTGTTTCCATCAGCTCAAAATGACAATCAATCTGAACAGCAGTGCAAGCCTGGGCGAGCACAAGGCTTAACGTACAATGCAGTCCTTTACAATTATAATAATTTAACTTTAATGATCTCACATTGGCGAGATGTGCCTCTGCATTTAACCAATCCCCTTGGGGAACAGCGGGCTGCCATTGTGCGGCGCCCGGGGAGCAGTGTGGGGTTAAGGGTCTTACCCAGGAACCCAGGGTGCAGGCTGTGGGGATTAAACCGGGTACTTTCAATCTTTCCAGAGCACTGCTCTAACCCACTAGGCCAACACTCCCCCAATCAGGGGTCTAACAATTTATTTTTTACAAGCATTTGATTCATATCAGGATTTATGGTTTCTGCTTTGATTTACGTGTGATGATTCATTTAGAATGATCTAATCCGAATCAGTGACTTTAAATAATTCAGGAAATATTAAGCCAGAAATGTAGCCAGTGTGACTGTGAAATAAATACCAGCACACTAGAAATCTCCAAGATATATATATATATATATATATATATATATATATATATATATATATATATATATATTAGTGCTGTCAAAATTATCGCATTATTAACGCGTTAACGCGAGGCCATTTTAACAGCGATAATTTTTTTAACGTGAGATTAACGCTATGTGGTTTTATGGTACAATTTTCCAAGTACATCCCGCTGCAGCCTACGGGAAGGCGGGGCTATTTTCCCCCAGTCTATGCATTTCTCATAGGCTTCGAGAGCGGAGCTTCTCAAGGAAAAAAGACGCTCATACACTGGGTGACGCTAGTGCCTTTTCTTTAAGCCCCACCACCAACAAACAAGTTGAGTGTCTGGTAACTAGTAGCAACCTGAAATACGCTGAGAAAACAGATTACTGAGGTGAAATGGAATCTGCTACGGCACTGTTGCTGTCTGTGTACGCCACAGGTCGGTATCGTGTGTGTGTGTGTTTGTGTGTGGGTGGGTGCTTGTGTGTGTGTTCTCATTTTTGTTAAGAGGCTGAAAAATAACTTTCTAGAGCATAGACTACCTCCATCTAGTGATGTTGGTCTATTGATTTTGATGTATTGATTGAAAATTGTTCATTATTATCTTGGTTAATTAACATCTAATGTTAACTCTACTACATTTTATAGCAGTAGGGTAAAATGCTTGTCTTTGTTCAAAAGACTGTATTAACTGTAAAGACTGTCTTTTACATCAGCCTGTTTTCAGGGCCTTTTTTTTGGCTACATATTTGTTATTTTTTGCTACATGCCTCCCCATCTTCTTGCCATATGTTTCTATGGCATAAATCAGTATCTGTGACCTGTTCTCATTAAAAAAAAAGAACATTGGCACAAACCTAGCCTGAATGTATTTTTTGTATGTCATCGAGAGTATTTAAATGATTTTCAATCAGGAAAAAAATGTGCGATTAAAATGCGATTAATCGCGAGTTAACTCAGGCATTGATGAGATTAATCGCGATTAAAAAAATTTAATCGATTGACAGCACTAATATATATATATATATATATATATATATATATATATATATATATATATATATATATATATATATATATTTTTTTTTTTTTTTTTTTTTTTTAAGGGGAACTTCTTTATAAATTAAATGAATATGGCTGTCTGCCTGACTGTGCGTTTCCTGGATGGTAGAGTTGGAGAGTCGACGGTTGACCGCCAGTAACTACTGTGGCTTGGTAATAATTGTAAAAAACCTCTCACTCTGTGATTCTCCACCATTCGCCAGGCTTTGGTGAAGTCTGCGCAGCTTGTGCATGGCCATGACGTCACAGACAGACAAACTTGATCATGTCACATTTAGTGTCTTTTATCATTAAATTTCTCACATAAAAAGCATGCAAAAAGAAAAAAAATACTGTGCTTTAACGTTTTATATCCTAATATCGATAAAATCGATTACATACAATTTAAAACAATTTTAGACTTTGCCAAGAAGTAATTGGTCCATCGATTAAATGTCCAATCATTTCACCTCTAATTACAAACCATTTCCCCTTGAACTTAAACATTTTTGCAGGTTTGTTATAAATAAGATTTTACAGGAAACATTATTCTCACTTCTGAAAACTTGTAGCGATGACATAAATCCAGATTATTATATAATCACCTGAACAATAATTTGAACAAAGAACAACTAACTGGATTAAAATGATGTATAGTTCATTTTTGAATTTTCTGTTTCAAAATAAAGCAAGAAAAAAAGAAAATAAACCAATTGTTATTTTGTTTTAAGAAAAATTAGAAAAACCTACATCTCAAAAGGAAAAAGGCTGCCTTTTTCTTATTTTATTGGTTGGATTGAGGACATGCTAAATATTTCAAATATAATTTTTGTACCTAGTTGCAGAATTGGCAATTATGATCTGAATGTCTAAATACAACATTTTTAATCAGCAGATGTAAACAGGGAGAATTTTTCATGGTTTGCATGTTCGGCTTATTTAAAGCCACAGAGTGTAATATTTCAGCTACATCTAATGATCAGACTGCAGACTCTAACAACAGGAACTGCTCCACCAACACCTTCTCCTCCTCCAACAATGAAAATATCTGGATGGCTTTTTAGCCCTAGACTGTTTCATCTTCCTACCTGCAGCATAGACGTCCACCACCTGCTGCTTTCTTTCACCCTGCTCTGTTGCTCTGTCTGCACACAGGCTCCTCTGA